TGAGCATCGCAATTATATGTCTCAACTGTGAATTTTTTGATCAGGATTTCCTGTAACTGCTACACCATTGAAAAAATAAGTGACTAAGTCTTAAGTTGCAAAGTTAACCAATCTGCTGGTTTTCTGTAAAATCACATTTCTGCCATAGCTACTAACTTGCCGTTCCATCAAAATGCAATAGATGGCAGAAGAAAGAAAAAGAGCACCTTTAACAGCAACAGCTCCAATCATTCTCTTTTAGTAGGGTATCCCCCTGCACCAGTATGTTATGCACTACAGACAGAGAGATGCCAATATTGTTGTGGGAGAGTTGTGTGTTTTACAACCTGGAGTTGTTTTTGTTACAGGAGTACAGAGTAGAGATGCTGCCTGGTATCAGACTCTCACTGCCCCCTTGAGTGAGGACCAGAAGAAACAGTTGCAGGAAATCTTTACACTGACAGAACAACGGAAAAATGAAGCAGGTTAGTGTCAAGTGCAGCATTGTATTTTTTTTTAAGTATAACTGGCAATAAATGTTAAGAATGTTTGGACTCTGAACATGCAATTAGTCCTCACTTAAATTGATAGTTGCATCCCTGAAAATTGCAACTTTAAGTGAAACAATTTTAAACAAATTGCATTTTACCATGAAAACCAGCTTACAAATGTAGTTAGGTTCTCTAGTACTTTCCTCATCAGAAACGTAGCCTTTAAGTTATAATGATTCATATCACTGAATTCCATTTCGAGTAACTGAAATAACTTCCAAGACAAAATCAAAAATATAAAAGAAAATTTGTAACTAACTGCTGGCAGTACCTCCTGCTGGTTGCCTGTCTTGCCAGCTCACCATATGTCTCTCTCTGTCTGACCTTACTGATTGCTGCAGACTCTCAAACTTGCGACCTTTACTGCTTTTTGACTTGCCATCTCGCCGAACCTCCCACTTCCCCAGTTCCCTGCCCACTGCTTCCATCTCCTCAACCTTTTCCTTTCGTAGTCCAAATCCGATCCGAATTTGGAACTCTCGGATTATGGAAGTGCGGGTCCTGATTGTGCAGATGTACTGAGTTAGGACTGCTTTAATGGATTTTTTTTTTTTTTTTTGAAAATTCTCCTGCTCCTTGCTTCCCTTTTTTGTAAATGAGTGCTCTCGAAATGACAAGCAAGAGGCAGAAGGAGCTGCTGAAGCATTGTGTTTTGCTGGATCAAACTGGTGAGCGCATGAATATGTGTTTTCAAACCACCCTAAAGATCTTGGTCCTCTAAACCCCACCATCAATTTGCATACTACTTGTTTCTTCTACGTGAAGGTTAAGTGAATGAGGAATAATGGTAGATTGTCTACTGTCTGAATAAACTTCAGCATTTACTTCCAAGATGATGCCATTGGGCCAGGAACAAGTAGCAATCCAACAAATGATCCAGACCCTGGTGAGTAAAAGCTCCCGGATGCAAACCATGGTTAGCAGCACCTTCACTTCTGCTTCTCATCCCTCGTCTCCAGAACCCTAGCTTGCAGTAAGAGATTTTTTTTAAAGGCATCCATTATGTTGGTCGTTCTGCACAATCCTGATGTGTACTTTCACAAGCAGAGACTCCGTTTCAGATCACATCTGGATCTGGGACACTGAATGAGGGGTTCAGCAAGTAGAAAGTGGGAGATTTAGGAAGTGAGAGGTTTGAAGGGGAAGGATTGGGAAGTAAATGACTGAGAAAGTGAAACAAACTGTAAGTCAGAGGGCCAGCATTAAAAAGGTGAATAAAGGGAGTGGGAGAGGCCACTACAAAATGGTGTTGATCATGTGGCCCTACATCAGCCTGGCATATTTTTAAAATCTCACAACTCTAAAGGTCTCTTTGACTGATTGTTAAAGCAAAACAACATAAAACACAGCACTGTTAAATGGGAACTTGATGTGTTCTACTCCCCCTTTCACCACCCTCTGGAAGCTTTAAAATATACTCCTTTTGACTGGTAACACATAAGTTTCCGCAGTACTGTGGATTGCCTGGTGATGTCACTAGTGGACTTGATCCTTAGAATGATATTCAAATTTCAGTATTAAACGAGAAAGTTTGCTAAAGCTTTTTATTTCTCAGTATTGGAAGCTTCTGGGAAAATAGATGGAATTAACAAAACTCATAACCTTCTCTATGGTTTCAAACTAAGAAAATCTTACATGGAATTAAATGAAATTTCTGACAGCATAAAAGATTTTTTGGCTCAACTGGTCTGTGTTGATATTTACGCTTAACAAAAGTCTCCATCAAGCCTGCTTCAGCTCACAACATCTACCCATCTGTCTATTAATTTATCCCTCGCATTTATTCACTTAAATGCATCTGTGGTATTCACCGCAACCATTATTTCTGGTAGTGAGTTCCACAGGAAACCTTATTGCATTGTCTGTCCAACTTGAAATTATATGACTTGATTGCAAGTTACTGAAAAAATTTACCGTAAATGTTGTATAACAGTGTCAGGACCCTGGTGCAACCTTGCAATGATGTTACAGAACTGTACATCGTTATGCACAGCATAAATAGAGCAATGTGGATGGAGTTAGGGCACGCTGCACACTGTATTGCACTCTGTTGTTTAATTTGAGCTTTATGGTGGTGTTTTACATATGGACATGAACACAAGAAGATAGTAGTCCTCACCGAATGTGACTATAAGATCACAATCTGGTATGTATGTGATTGTCGTATATATCCATATTTAATATTAGAGTATAGTATGTGGTGTTACTTTGAAACTTGAACCTGAGGACAGTTCTTGACTTTGTTTTCACCTCGTGCAGTCTGTGTTGAACACTAAATTCACATTGTGGCATCAAATGTAACAGTAAAGAAGTAGATGTGTGTTTCAAAAGCTGAAAGAGCTCTTCAATCCCCAAAGGGTTCAATAAAAGTAAAGTTGATGAAATTAAATAAAATATCTATTCATTAGATAATTGAAATTATGGAATGCCAGAACAGGTTTTTTGGTTCATATTAGTTTTTCTGAATAAATGACTGATTGGACAACACACAAGCTGAAAATTGATGTTCTTTCCAATGGACTTTCGGGATTTTTCTGTAACTGAAACATCATTTGTCTCTGCTGACATGAGTATATTGAGCAGATTCCTCACTGTCAAGAGGTAAAGATGTTTTGATGTGAAAGGTTTATCCATTGTAACTTGCGTGACAATGTTTTTTGGATGTGTTCCACAGGAAGTGTGGAATTTGTGTGTGAAAACCACTAATAATCCCCCGTCACACTCTTCCTCCGATTTTAAATGTGACTAGTGTTTATGCATATGCCTTTCAGTGTTTTGCCTGTATGCTGTTTTAGCTTTTACATCATTTCATATGGCAAAATGTTCAGCCTCCAAATGAGTCAGGGCATCTACAAGTCAATCCAGGGTTTTGTTGCCAGGATTTCTACTGGCTGTATTGGCTGCCATTCCATGATTCCTCATTCTTCACTCCGAAAATCCTAACAAATTGCCTTGGGAATCATAGAAGATAACATCATTTTTGAACTAGATATGATGAATTTTTATTTTCACGATTGAAGATTTGAGGAAAAGTTCAGACTTTAAATTGTATTAGAATATGTCTATCGTTGGCGAGCTTTGAAAACCCAATTGGAAATGGCTGACAAATTTTCTTTGCAACGTAGTACCAGAGGCAAATGTTGTTAACTTCCCATTTCTGAAAAAGTTACTCAGTACTGTAATTTTTGATTACTTGTAATTTGTGCCAGACTGCTTGAACATCTGAGGACAATGCTATTTTGGTATTCAGTGCAGGAGAAATTTTTATAGATTGAGCTGAGTCAAATTTATTTGACATTAATGAACTAGTGGGAATAGAGGAGAAGACAACCGCAGGCATGTTTCAGAATTCCAATAAAAGCAGAATGAACAAAGCTGAAATCTGGTTCATGAGTGACTCCTTTATCCATTTCCTTGGTGTTTTTAAATTTAACAATAAAATTTAAACTAACTTAGTATTGAGATTTTCCAGATGGATTTTTGGAAGATGACGAATATGCTATAATTGTATGATTTAAGTCTTCTCCCATTTCAGGTTTGAATTCTGTTCAATATTTCATTTTCTTTCATTTTCTTAGAATCCAAGAAAATTGAAGGACAGGGTGGCTATAAGTTTGACATAACTGCACCAGTTCCCACAGCGTTCAATTTTGGAGCAACCCCAGGGGACAACTGACCTACAGATGGCATTTTATTAAACTTCAGGGCATCATGAAAAAATTCTTCCATCCATCAGCATTACTGAAGCTGTCGGTAGACCTTCGGTACTAGTGTTGAACCCTTCCAGTGCTGAATCGTAACTTTATCATTTGAGGGTTTTGTCGGTGTTTATTTTCTTCCTCAAGTGAACAGAGTGAAAATCATCTCCTCTCTCCCACCCTCTCCCTCTGCAGGCACTACGGGGAAAGGTTTGGTTAACTACCACCTCTCAGGTTCCCAAAATACAGGCATTTGACGGGTTAATACAGATACATAGTGCCTTCTGTCGCATGTGGATTGCCTCAGATTTTAGTTTGGAAAGAAGTGGCATGATTTTAAAGAAAAGTACTTTAACTTTTTTTTAAATATTTACCAGAGATTTAAAAAGAATCTGTTTATTGCAGCTCTGCTATTTTTAAATTTACGTGTGGTAACTGTTTTAACATTTAAAATATTATCCTTGGTAAAAGAACCTGTGGGTTTCTGTGATTTGTGATTGCAGTGGTAGCCTTAGAGAAAAGAATTGTAGCTCCGTTAAAATTACGTGGAAATTCATAAGTCCATCTTGGTGGACAATCGTGATTCCTTTTTTCTGAAAGGGGAATAAATTTTAATAACCATGCACCGTGGAAAAATATCAATATTCTAGCAGTATGTTTAGCTGTTTAATTGCAGACGAGAGGATTTTAGACTTTTGAAATGAATTATTTTCTTGTTTATGTTATTTAGAATATCAAATACCCATCTGGGTAAAACAGGAATTGTCATGGCCGGGTTACTGTACTTTTACATTGGTTCTTTGAGAGAGCTTGTGAGTTTTCATTCTCAACTATCGGGTGCCTCAATAAAACCTTTGGTTGAGCACACTTGTCTGAATGAATTCTGTTTGCTGAAATCTAACAGGATTACAAGTTTTTGACGATTTTAGAAAGAAGCTGAGGGTTCAAGCACTATACTGCTGGACTTCATAAAGTCAACAGAGTAAAGAGGAAAGTGAGACTGGAGCTCTTGACGTGACAACATAACAAGAAAATCAACACTGGAACAGTTGTAAAGGAAGCCATACCATTGATGATCGTTTAGACTAGAACTTTTTGAGATGATGGAATATTTTCAAAGTAAACGTTAGATTCCAGAATTCGAGGAAGTAATCAGCAGCAGGTTTTTTAATACTTTCAGGGAATGGGAGTGTCACTGGCTAGGCCAGTATTTCTTGACCATCCTTAGATGCTTTTGAGAAGAAGATCATGAGCTGCCTTTTTGAACTACTACAGTCCATTGGTGTAGGTACACCTGCAATGCTGTTGCAGAGGGAGTTTCAGAATATGGTTATACATATGCGATGATATATTTCCAAGTCTGGATGGTGAGTGACTCGGAGGGGAACTTGTGGGCGATTCTGTTCCCTTGTATCTGCTGTTTCCTCCTAGAAGGTAGTGGGTCATCGGTTTGCAAGGTACTGTTGTCTTTCCTGGGAATCTCCACAAAATTGAGGTTCTGAGGACTTTGCAACAGCAATATTGCTAATTTGAATTGATGGAAGAAATACTCGAGGAGAAATCTGATTACTCTCTTGTATCCACAAGGATATGTGTTAAGGCCTCAATTAACCACATTACTTATTAACAACTTAGATAATGGCTTAGAAAATCATATATCCAAATTTGCTGCTGATAAAGTTGGGTGACATTAAGGCAATACAGATATCATAAGCAGTATTGATAGACGAGGTGAATTGGCTAAAAAATGGAGTTCAGCGTGAGCAAGTGTGAGTTTATCCATTTTGGACTTAGAAAGGATAGATATGAGAGTACTTTCTAGATGCTATGAAATTAATACGGTAAAGGACCAAAGAGACTTGGGGGTTCAGGTGCATAGATCTTTAAAATGCTGCAAACAGAAAATAATGAAGAAGACTAGTTGAATGCTGCCTTCAGGTCTAGAAGATTGGAATGGAAAGACACAGAAGTTGCGCTGCAGATGTACAAAACCCTGGTTAGACCCCACTTCGAGCACTGTGGATAGATTTGGGCACTACATCTTAGGAAATATATATTGTCCTTGGAGTGATTACAATGTCAGTTTACAAGAATGATACCTGGACTTCAGGGATTACTTTTATGAGGAGAGATTATTCAGATTAACGTGCTTTCTGTAGAATTTTAAAGGGTGATCTGTTCCAAGCCTTCAAGATATTTATAGGAAAAGACAGGGATAAACTATTTCTACTGGTTCCAGCTCATAGATCTAAGAGACATGGTTTGAAAATTAGGTCTAGACTGTTCAGGAGTGATGCAGAAGTGCTCCCTAACACACAAAGCGTGGTAGAGGTTTGGGACTTGCCTTCCACAAATGGAATGTTAGATGTTAGATCAGTTCTTAGGTTTAATTGATAAATTTTTGTTGAGCAAAGATATTATGGGATATGGGCCAAAGACCAGTATATGGAGTTAGGCCACAGATTGGTTAGCCACGATCTCATTAAATGGCAGGACAGGCTCAAAGGGCTGAATGGCATGCTCCTGTTCCTATGTTTATGTAATGGAACAGAATTGTACCGGTCCTGGAGAGGTCACCTCCAAGTATTGAGGAAAACATCCAAGCTGAAACCAGACATTTTTCGGACTATGCAATGTGTGACAAACTTGGATTTTGATTTGATAAATCCTTCAGATTTAGTGCAATGATTGAAATTTGTACCATCTTGTTTAAAACTTCATCTTCTGTTTTGAGTTAAGCATCCAGGAGTAAATTGTTGAAAGCCATTATCCATGATCCATCGTTGCAACATCCACCCCCTCAGACGGTCTTTCATGGCTTGTGGTGGCTATCATTGTCCATGTTAAATGCAGGTGATAATTTTATAGGACACGTTTTCACTTTATCATTACTGTTTCAATATAAAATACATATATTTGTTGTATTTGTACAATAAATTAGAACCTCAGCGATTCATAGTTCCATTTTCTGGGATCTTGATTATTAGTGAAGCTTATCAGGAAACATAGGCACGTTCAAATGACCAGTCAACATCCACTCTGGGTGAGGCAATCAATGAGAATTGGTTCACAGCCAGGATACTGACAAGCACTGGGTCCAGAACTGAGAGGACCTGCAACATGATGCAGATGTGTGGATGTTAGCCCTTGGTCAGGAACTGACTAGGCATCAGATCCCAAAGACCAATGACTGTCAGGACTGGGTCAGCAGATAACCATGCATTGGATACTGAGACCAGTTGATTTTTGTGATCAACTAAAAACAAAAACGAGGAAGTGGGGTTTGATAAGAAAAGCAGTTAAACGGTTGATTAGATCCAACAAGAGAATAATCATCGTCTAGCTCATCATAACCTAGAAGCAAAACAGCAAGAGTTTGGTATTATACAGTGTGACATCAATTACCCACCAGATACTTCTTTGTTGTTCTGAATCATAGATACAGTACAGATAGAGGCCATTTGGCCCATTGAGTCTGCACCAATCCTCTGATGAGTATCCCACTCAGACCCACACAGACAGTCACCCAAGGCTGGAATTGAAACCAGGTCCTTGGAGCTGTGAGGCAGTAGTGCTGAGCCACCATGCTGCCCCAAACAAGCATGCTGTGATATAAATATATAGATATCAGTCTTATGCAGTGTTTAATGCCACGTTGAGACAATAATTGACTTTGTGCTTGTCCAAACATTCAAAGTTTTTGGTTCCTGAATACCTTGTTTGATCCGTGAGTTGCTTATCTGGTTGTGAATACTTTGATGTCAATTTGGCATTTATGCTACTTGTGTGTCATCTTGGAATGGCAAATTCCCAACCTTCAAAGTGCCCAACTATGAATGTCCATACACAACTCTCCTTTTAATTAGACTATGCCTTTACCTTTATCTTTTTACCTTTTAGTTTAGTCACATTGTAGCACTGTTGCATAAGGGGAGGTAGTGAGAGGGATGTCATTCTGCTCCATCTAAGGAGACTAAATCAAACCTAAGATTATATGGTTGTGTTTACAAGCACAACCCATCAGCTCAGTGTTAGAAGAAAATCTGACATTGGCAAGAACTTGTCCAGAGGAAATAAAATGTTAGCTGAACAGTACATTCTGGGCAATTATCCAAGATGTCATTGTCATTTACAATTCTACTTCACAAAATGAAATACAGAAGAACGTTTAAATGTACTTTATATTTACTGGGTTATAAGTGTGTTCTGAGGGAACTAACCCAATCTGAAGTATGATTTTACAGAGTCAAGATACTAGGAGGCATCACAGCCTGTTCCTTATCCTTCTTTGTTCAGGCTACTCAGCCTATTGCCACCATACTTAGATCATCTAACTGCATATACTGGGAATGAAGCCTGGAAGCTTCTAGCCTGAATACCTTACATATAGGTTAACTCTACTGCCTGAAAAATAGGAGAGTGAGGATCTTTATACCTGTCAAAACCATTAGTCAAGTAGCACACATCCTTTATTTTCCCTTCACTGCTTTTGTCCACATGGCTTGGTGACTGTTTGTCAGGAAGCAATTAATCCTTGCGGATTTCTCTGGAGTCACTGGTATTGAATTAACCTGCCAGCAATTGTGTTGTAATCTGATGTAATTTGAGAGTGTGTTAACTTATTTTTCTTTTTGAAATGACCATGTGAGTAATATTAGCTCTATGTGAGGACTGATGCAGTGATTGAACCAGTCAACCAGTGCCACTTTAAAGGTGGAAACAGGGTTGTTTGGTAAAATATGTTTTTAGATGGCCAAACATTGGCTGTAAGACTTAGGAGCAGAAGTAGGTCATTCCACCCTGTCAAGTCTGCTTCACGTTTCAATGAGATCATGAGTGATCTAATGATCTTCAACTCCATTTTTCTGCTTTTTCCTATAACCCTTGGTTCCCTTAGTCATTAAAATGTCTGTCTACCTCAGTCTTGAATGCGCTTAACAACCCAGTGTTGACAGTCCTCTGCGATAAAGAATTCCTAGATTCACTATCCTTTGAGAGAAGTCCCTTCTCATCTCTGTTTTAAATGTATGGCACCTTATTGTGTTATATAGTCCTAGTTTCTCCCACAAAGGAAACAACTTCTCTGCATCTACCTTGTCAAGTCCTCAAGGAATCTTGTATGTTGCAATAAGCTTGCATCTCATCTAAATTCCAATGAGTACAAGCCTGACCTATTCAACCTCTCCTTTATAAAACAGCCCCTCATACCTGGCTTTCAGTCTAGTGAACCTTCTCTGGACTCCCTCCGATGCCAGTATATTTTTCCTTGGAGAGGGGCCCAAAATTGTTCATGGTTTTCCAGTTGTGGTCTGTGTAATGCCTTTTATAGTTTGAGGACAAAATCTCCCTACTTTTATATTCCATTCCCTTTGAAATAAAGGCCAACATGCCATTTCCCTTTCTCTATTTAAATAATATTCAGCTCCTCTGTTCCTCCTACCAACGTGCATAACCTCACATTTTCCTACGTTGTATTCCATTTGCCAAGTTTTTGCCTACTCACTTGTCTATATCCTCCTGCAGATTCTTTGTGTAGTCTTCACTACTTACCTTCCCACCTATTTTTGTGTGACCCAGAAACTTGGCAACATACATTCTCTTTCCTTATCCAAGTCACTAATTCTCAGGTTTTGGAGTGGATTTGTAGCTCGGGTTGTGGGTGTTGAGGTTGGTTAGCTTGCCGAACGAGAAACCAGCTCAGCAAGCCAACCAACCTCAACACCAAGTCACTAATATATATTGTAAATAATTGTGCCCCCAGCATCGATCCCTGTGGCATACGACTAGTTATAGGTTGCCATCCTGAAATTGTCCCACTTATCCCAACATGCTGTTCTCTATTAGATAGTTAATCCTCTATTCATGCT